GTCGAATGGCTTTTTTCGCATTGATTTTCATTGTTAGAAACTCAACTATTTTTGTGGAAAACGTGCACTGAAATATTTTTTCTTGTACTCATTTGGTAAAATATTACGTGTTCTTTAAATATTTTGCTTTCTTTTTCTCAAAAACGTTTCTCATTACGAGATGTTTAGGATTGTGAAATCTCCATCCACAAGCCATAATATTCGTGTATTGATTACTGCTGTTATTAGAGTACACATGGTCTGGACGCATTTAAAGGCTTACGAGCACTATGGAACTTTTGCCTACAATTGACGACGGAAAGGACCACTGGTGAATTCAAGAGCGAAGATATAATTATGATTGTCCCAGCAGATGAGGGACGGACAACCATAATCATGGGCAAGTCCAGCCGTTCGGAATCTACTTGATCCACGTCCCCTTAGTAGCAAATCTAAGCGGATTCCATTATGGAATCCTACTGGAAAAATCCGGATAAATATGCCGGATTTCTACCTGATTTTGTCCACTTGATCCGCGCATGCTAATAGGGATTCAGATACCAACACTGTCACCAAGTGGCTGGACATCCCCGCGGTCTGCAAAGGCAAAGGATAAGGTCACACAGAACACAGGAAGCAGGATTAACAGCACCCTCAAGCCGTCAAATTACACCAACATCCACGCCAAGGTCGACGTAGCGAACGAGGAAAAAAAATCAATCAGCCCAAGGCCGACAAGTTCGGGCACACATTCGATAATGACAATAGACGCTTTGAAAAAGGAGAGCAGGCCCAGCTCTCTGGAACGTCAGCAATAAAACAAAAACCCGTTCCAGTGAGCACTATTAAGGTTCTCACTAGTCAGACTGTATTCGAAGCACGCTGACGCAACCACACTTCGCAGTTCTTCAGCATACATTAGCCCTGGTAACACGCGTTAATAGCGCACGTGAATTCACATGATCACCTGGTGAGCGTATGACTCAGCCCCTGCAGTCACAACCAATCAGGTGTGAATTCTCCCTCCTGGAGCTCGCAGATGCCACAGCGAAAGTAAACACACATATGCCTCTCAAAAACACTGACGCATCTAAAAGGACTCCTAGAAGCGACCTTCTACAGTGAACGTAATAGCCAATCAGATCAGTCCTCAACAGGTTAGGCAATGAATGAAACTACTTATCCCGCTAGCTAACTACATCCAGTGACTTAACTCAGGCTGTTTTGGCAAAAATGTTAAAACTGGTTTTAGATTAGGAAGGCAACGCTTATCACCTTCGAGCATATTCTCATAATATTTTACGCAAATCCGGATGCCAACTTTTGAATAAACACGTCTTCGGTTTCCTGAAAAACCCTACTCGATAAAATGAACTTTTTCATTACTGTGTATTTTTATAAACATTTGTGTGGACTAACTGGACTAAACTGCACTTAAAAATCTTGCCAATTTTTCGTGCCTGAACTGCTTTTGGTTTTAATGTGGCGAACACGCGCGTGCATTACAATTACGGCAAGCTTGTTTACTAAGAGTCCGGTTTTTAACTTTTATTTAACACTATTTCTTTTCAACTAGTTCGGATTCTGTTATCGATATTTCTGCATAGAAGTCACGAGGTCAACTTCGTAAGTTCGCATGGACCTTATAAAATCCTCATATTTTCTATGTCCTCAACCATAGAAATATATGTATAAAACAATAAAACAGATGATAGCCATCTAACTCGTCTTCCAAGTTTGTGCTCAAAGAATGGATATATTCAGGTACTAAACAGTTTCCAATTCCTGAATAATGCTGAACCTGATCTGCCGATATATGTGCGTTTGGGGTTCGCTGTCTGAAAGCCATATGGCTTTGGTGGAAGAAATATTATACGTGTCTTGTAGTCACTATGAAAATGACATATAGCGTTCATGCAATTTTGCAGCTTATGGACAATAATATCTCCTTACTGGTAGGCATTACTAAAAGAACAGATGTGAGGCGATTTGAAAGGAACGTTAACGTTCATAAGAGATTTCCCCATTATAAACCTTTTCAAAACCAAAAGATTGCCTCTCGTTGAAGGCGTGGTTGACTATCAACAGATTACAAAAAAGCAAATTTTGGTTGCGGTTTCTATAAAATGAATTTGAATTTTAAAATCCAGAGAAAATGCACCCTACGCAAGTATTCGTCCTCCGTAGAGTGCTGCATTTTCAGGAAACCGAAAAGATACGCATTCAAAAGCCGGCATACGGGTGTATCTTAAATACCACCGCATTGTGTTTCACAATAATCAATATTACAATTGCGCTGCTTACTGAAACAACTTAAGTAGCCATGGCTCGTATTATATTGGGCAGTTATAGACAAAGGTTTTGGAGTTTGGTTGAGGAGTTTGTAATTGGGTACTCTTGCAAATAGGGGACTACGGGGCTAGGTTTTAGGGTATTGCGCTGGGGCTTGGAGCTTTAGGTTAAGGGCTCCGCTTAGAAAAACGTGGATTCTATTTAGAGGTTTTTATGTAAGGGGAACAATTGCGGACAGAATAATAGAGGTCGGGCCTACCTTTCAAGCATTGCATCCAATTCCATGGAGCTAGAAGATTTCACCTGATTCTTTGGTGGATACCTTCGTAAAGAGAAGAAAAATGTAGAAAAATAGAATAGTGTGACTCAATTTGGGGCAACGCATTAATTATCACTTCAGATAAACCGTAAAAAATTGTCTTCAGGCAGACGTCCCTGGATTTGCTGTCTCATAAAATGTCACCTGAAACATTCACGCATATTTCTAATTGGAAAAATTACTCAAATAAAGTCGTACTACTAAATATCATTTAGAATAAGCCCGAGCTGCTTCAGTCTCGTCAGTATGCTGGCTTTTCAACTAGCTTCTTTCCGGCCAAATGCAAAGACTGCAGTCTTTAAAACATTACTATTTAAGCAGTTATCCTTTTTTTCCTATTGACTTCCAGTGCTTTCATAAATTCAAATATTTTTTATAGAAAACATGATCGGAAGTATTCCTTTTGGTACTCAGTTACTAGCATCTGAGCACTGCGACAAGAATTCGAATCGCAGGCTTTGGTCAGCGAAATAAAAAGCACCCTAAACGCAGCACAATCACTTAAAAACGTACTTATTTCGTTCTAATAGCCCAAGGAAGAAATTTTAATCCGCTAATGTATGCAATCCAAGGCCATAGGAACAAATGTGTGGCTGCCGTGGACCACAGTATCGCTCGATGAGGAGATTGTACCTGTCGAAACAGAGATTCGATCTATCAGACGACCGTTCGAACGTCGTTTCAGGCTATTTCCACCACGTGCCTCGCAGAAGAAGGTCAGGGACGGTGGTTTGCACGTGATTAAATTTGAAGTGATAGCAAAGTTATGGTGCATCTACCTCATTCCCTCCTCCTTCCCCACCTGGATCCACTGTCATGACCAAATGAAGCTTACCGGATATAGCCCCGTATTGAACTAGCGCATCCACCATGTGACATGCTTAAGGCGCCTGACCTGTCAGACACCAATTGCCTGATAATACGTCGGTTATTCTCTGCGAGATGACCAAATAGCGCTTTGCCAACATGCATATGCCTGTTTCTTGCTTTATTTACTTGTCATATCAGCGCTACTCCAATATAGACAGTAGTATGTTTTATTGCTCACCTGCTGAAAATATTGACAGCGAGATTCTCTAATTCCTCTCGCTGAGCCGGAGTCCAGTTTGGCAAGTTTTTCAGCTTCAGGAAGGCCTTAGAAGCCGTGGCGAAGGCTCGGGCCGATAAGGCGCAAACAGCTGAAAAGAACAACATATGAGTATAGATCTTGATATCGGCGCAACTTACCAATTATAGAGTAGACCTTCTGGGGTTCGATTATGTCATCCAGATCTCTCAACAGCAAAGCTGTCCTCAGAGCATGCTCATAGTGGCCTGAATAGAGCTGGTTCTGGCAGAGCATGAGAAAGTGGTAGGCCTCAGCACCGCGCCAAGGCTGGTCAACGAGACGGGTCACCTCGTAGGTGCTGAGGAGGAGACGCTTCGCCAGCGGACAGTTCACCTTCTTTCGTTTCCGTCCGCTGTTTTCCTTGGTCGCCTGTCTTCTTTCGGCGATTGTCTTGTGGCCGCCGCCACGGTCTCCACGGCCGCCATCCTCGCTGAACTCTTCCGTGAAGAGGGTCTTCTCTTCTTCCTTCTCTGTGGCCTTCTCCCCATTCTCTTCCTCCTCATCTGTCCCGTCCCCTTCGCCCTCTTCCACCTCATCCGCGGTCTCATTAAGCATTGATTCCAGGATTGTGGTTGACTGAAAAAAACAGGGACAGAAGAAGAGGGGTTAAGGAGTGAAGAAACGTTGTTACCAGGATCCTCAGCGAGAGGAACATCGAAAATGTCCCTGTCTATATTTCGAGCAAGTGGCTGATAAAACATACTACTATCTAAATTTGAGTAGCATTTATATAGCAAGTGAATCAGACCAAACAAACCTGGCATCGGCCGTCACCAAGCCTATTCTCCTGCTCATATCGCATCCGATCGTGGTGTTTCTCCACCAATAGACCAACAAGGACGTAAATCTCCTTCACTTTGCGCAAAGAACATCCTGCCTTCGCGGCTGACTGTGCCTCCTGGGGTAAAAACGGAAGAAAATTAAGTTGGTGAGAGGTAGACTATTAGATGACATCGAAGAAAAAGACCGTCAACTCCTTGCAACGTACAGAAAGAGTGAAAAACGTGTCTATTGTTAGCGAGATAAATTCGAGTGAGGGTTTTACCCAGGCCGACATGTATCAAACCTATGTTCTATAAGGCTCGTATTTAAGGAGCAATTGCCGTAATAGGCGAAGTACGTGAATAAATGCGCTTAGATTAGAGCACGCCAATGTTAGGTATCCAATCATGTCTTTCAGTGGAGTACAAAGTGATTGCGTTGTCTGCTGGTGTGTGACGGCTGAGGCTTTTTCACGTAACTTTGTCGAACAAATTTGCGAAACTACATGCTACGAAATGTCCATGATCGACATGCCTAACACTTGAGATCTGGGCCTATCTACGGTTGATCTAACGGGCAGCACAACATATTAAACGAGTATCGGCGCTTCTGATTGTCCAAGTAAAAAAAAACCAAGAATACGTTTACTGGCGGCTGGTTATGCGACTTGTGGACTACTTAATTAAACTTCGCTATTTCTGGCTTATTAGCCATGGCCAGTTAGCCAGTGACCAAAGAGCTCCAGCTCGATCCGCAGATCAGGCAGACTTGAGGTCACTTATGACTACCTGAAGATCGGGTTTCCGAACCCACTTGTCTCGTTTCGTCTTGAGGCGAAACGTTAGGCCCTCGTAGGCAGTGCCGACAGATCCTAATATCCGGTCGTTAACTGCACTTACAATAAAGTTACTTTGCCCGACCTGAATCGGTAGGACAAATACTCTGTGGCTTAGTCGTTAAGACGTTGGACTTCTCACCAACAGATCGTGCGTTCGAACCTCGGATGGAGCACCATTTGGGGTAGGGTAAGATATAATTCGCACAAGGGACTGGTAAGGGCTTAGTTGGAGAGGAAAATATGATCTCAGCAACGTAGTAACTTCTTTCACTGGTTTTGAGCAGGCGTCTCTTGATGGTATTAAACATTTTAAATACCACCAAGAGACGCCTGCTCAAAGCCAGTAAAATAATTTACTATGTTGCTTAGCTCACATTTTGTTCTCCAACGAAGTCCTTACCAATCCCTTGCGCGAAGGATGCCTTAACATTGCACGCCGCCTCCAAATGTGTTTATGAATTTATATGCACTTGCGGATGCAAGTACATAGGGCGAACGCAAAGGCTATTGGCAGCCAGAGCCAGAGAACACTCGCCTAGCTGGCTATTCAAACAGGAAAATCGAACCTCTCGTTCCTCCATTACAGAACACTTGCTAGACACCGGTCATTCTGTGGACCCCAAAACTTCCTTCAAGTACTTGTTCGAGCACGAAAAACCCGTACCTTGCGCTACCTGGAGGCAGCCTATATACGGAGGCCAAAACCAGACCTATGTAAACAGCTGGAGCATGTGGTTAACCTAGCCTTGCCTTGGTAACATCTGGCTCCCAGATTTACACAGTCCCCTGCCCACATTTTCCCTTAACTCCTTTTCCTCTATTTCTCTTTCCAACTTGTTTTGACTCACTTGCTTTGCTAATTAGCCTTAGTGACCATGTCTTTAGACGTTTTGACCTTTCTGTACCAATTCAATTGAGCATTTTTTTTCATTCGTTACTGTTTAATGCATTGGAGTGGCCGCACCTGATGAGCGCTCCCGAAAATTCATGGATCCAATAAATCCTGCTGTTTTATTCCTTGTCTTTCTCTACAAAGTATGCCCGCTTTTACTTTTTCTCGTCAGCCACGAGAGTATGCTTAAAGATGGCACAAAGCACCATATAGCATTCATCGTCTCTTGCACAAGATCCACTCAGACAGCACGTCACATTTAACCAGATGACGCATGCATAATCGAAATTAGAAGCACCATACAACAAGTTAAAAGTTGTCACATATTTTTTCAACTAAATTTAATAATAAATTAGTAGTACCACTAGGTACTTTTGGACGTAAAGCCCTTTCATTGTCAAGCGAAATACTTGCTGTTGGTGTCCTTCATATTTTCGGGTCAACGTCCTCAGTATAAAGACTGTACTTTACAAAATCCTTGTAGTGTACTTGCGATGCATCTACCGCGCACTTTTCCATCTCAATCATCTGAACCCAGTGTAAAGATGGTAAAGAAGACCATACGTGGGATCAGGTGCAGTGGACGACACGGCTAAACCGCCCGTCCTCACGTCCCATACACAAACCCGTGTTAACGAAACAATTTTATAATCCCGCACTGTACGACTGAGTTACTGGTCCGTTCTCTTGTTGGTTGGAATCGAAACTATTCACTATTGTTGGACGAGAGTTCGCCGATCATTTTACAGAACTTCCTGTTATGTCTACTATGTCTGTTGAAAAGAGCCTCAAATGGACACAATGAACAAGTCTATCAGTATAATGAAGAGGAAAAACTCACGCGTAGCATCAGCTTGGCGGCATCAAGGTAGTGTCCAGCACGCTTGAGCAACTCTACAGCCTGCACCGTCCAACCTTGTTCAAGAAGATGTAGGACGGAGGCCTTCAGTTGGTTATCGAGACGTCGTTTGCTGACAGACACATCATTGTCACCACTGAGGGCTGGCAGAAGATCAAGAGCAATTTGCCATTCGTTCAGCTCCAGGCAGACATCAATGGCTTCCTTGTAGCGGGCACACTATTGTATAAGAAAACTCGGTGAAATATAGCTACTGACTATTAATAAGTAAACATGTTTGAAATATTAACAAGTAGACAATGAGTCACCTTCATGAGAGCGAATATCGCCTGTTGGCCAAGGCCAATGCTTGAAAATATGCCCGCCAGTTCAGGAAGAAGAGGATGACCGTCAGGGAGTTCACTGACAACGTTCTCCAGATCAGTGTAATCCTCTAGGAGGTTGAGACAGCGCACCAACTTTTTGTACTCCCCACCTTGTTTGTAGAGGTCTGCAGCCTGAGCCCTGGGGAGAAAACAGTGGAGGCGGTAGAGTCAAACCACATTTCTCTTCCATTGCTCCCTGAACACATTCCGAATTAACTTCCCTCGATTGAAAATGCTAAAGTTAAGAATGCAGATATAACCTGGATCGTGTCCCCGATTATCCATTCTTTGATTACAGCACCGTAAGTAATTTAGGATACCATGTGCCGGCGAAAACTTGAGCAGTATGATCCCTCGGAGTTAAACTCAAGATAAAAACAGGTGCTTGGTGGCCGGACGAAATATGAACGCCCTCCAACAACTTGGGTTAACATTAAACTAGTCGTTCGGCATCTAAGGGCAACCTTATCCGAATTCATTCAGTATAGACTATCCGCAACCGGACCGGGGCTTTCTTGTCATCCCAAAAAAGGATTTGAAAGAACACATTTCAGTTAAAATTTTGACAAACCCATCATGATAACAACTAACTGAATTACTATCTACCGCATTCTGCAATATTCTCCTAACACCCTAATTCATCTACGAATAGTTATCTTCAAAATGCTTCGAGGGTCTAAGATAGACAATTATCCCGCGTGGCAGATTCTAATTCCGAATGTCCCGTCTCTTTACTTATATTCGAATGCGGAAGAAATAATGCGATGGACATGAAGCCACTGTAAGGAACAGATAACGGTCCATATGATTGAGCATCTCCTTGAGACGAGAAGACACTCAGGGCTATTTAAATTAAAGATGACCACAATTTGTGGATTACCTACCTATACACCCGTCTGACTGTCCGTTTCTATATTTTTTTACTTTTATGCTATGTCAGTGGAAGATAGGACATTATTTTCCCCATATCTTTCGTCTGGCAACACTTATACCACGACCCGCCTTCCAGACCAAAGTAGACAATTTATCAAATCTGCCTGGCTGTTATACGAAAATGACTGATTATGAACCTTAATAAACCTAAAAAGAATTTAAAAAACGTTAATCATTGCCATCGATGTGTAATAACCAGCTTAGCTGCATTATAAATTGTAGGTCCAGGCAAATGAAGGTACAAGGTAAAACTTCATAAATAATGAGTGCCTCTTTTACAATTTCCTGAGGACTGTAGTTACTGTGACTGCCAAAATCCTCCCGTGCTTGATTGTGACAGTAAGAGCGTTTAAGCTCATAAAGTAAATTGCTTACCAGTCTTGTTTGCTGAAGTAGTGATCGCCAATCGCAGTCCAGACCTCGGAGAGCTCTTTGTCACGAACTACGACGCCAGACTCTTTTGCCAACTGGGCCACTCTGAACCAGTCTCCAAGACGCCTTCGGAGATTTACCGCTAGGTCACAGCGATCTGAGCTGAGAAAGAGTTTCTCAGCACCCTGGTAGTCCCCGAAGTACGCCTTAACCTCCGCCTAAAAAAACATTTCTACTGAAAATCAATAGGTAACGAGGATAGACTGCAAATAAAATGACTACCGTAGCCGCAACAGGTTTAATTGACACCGGCGTTATTATACGAGCAGACCCCTCTTTAAGGTTAAAGTTAATGATTGTGAGACTCTCGATTTTACCTCACTGAATACCTAACTTTTATTGATCTTCGCTTCACCACTCTAAAGTTAGTGCGCCGATAGAAATGTTGGAAGCATGTGCTAAGCTAAAGATCACCATACGTGCAGAATGTAATGACGCTATATATTTCCTGTCTTTTCGTTCAACTGCCAACGGTCATTGCATATTTGAAAAATTAGAGGCTCAGTAAGGGAACAGGCCGTGGGCAGTTAAACAAGAGCTCACGAGATTTATGATGCCATTAAATTCCGCATGTTTCACCATCGCTGCCTTATTCAAATGCATTGAGGGAAATCGCGTTTCAATTAGAAGCAGATCTGTTGGCTAGAAATACCCTTTTTGGGTCCAGTAACCTTTAGCCGATCGAGGCATGTCATACTGGTCAGTAAATAGGTAAGGATGATTTGTATGCCCGCCCAAAACAGGACACAGAGAAAGGAACTGCTCACATTACTGAAAGTTAGAATTAAGGCAAAAGTTAGGATTATGTCTGGGGTTAGGTTTAAGGTTGAAGGTAACGGTGGAGTTGGGTTTAGGGTCAGGACCATGTTAGGAGTTAAGGTTCGTATTAACTGTAGAGCTTACGTTCAGGGTAGGGCTAGGGTTAAGATTACATTTGCAGTTTAGTTCTATGTTGGGGTTACTGTTAGGGTTAAGACAATGGAATATTTCCTCTTCCTGGAATTTCCCGCAAGACCACCTATTTTAAGTGGGTGGGCTGTCCTGCTTCCAAGTCCTGTTAAGTGGCCATACAAGTTATCCTTATTAGTAAATAATATCAGAATATGTGTCCTACTTTTCAGTTTGTCAAAGTACTAAGGTTTACTTTTCCGATTCACAGTTCATCTAAGCCTCTCATGCAAGGACTTTTGAACTTCGGTTTTTACTGCACAAAAATGTTTGTAAGACTGGAGTACACTTGGACTTGCTCCAAAATTACATGAAAGTAGCTTCCATCTCTCTCTCTCTCACACACACACACATACAGAGACGCTCTCGGGCAGGATTGGACGCAGTCAACATCCGCCCTGGCTTTGACGGTGGCCACTGCCATCTAAGGCAGCAACTCAGAGGTCTGTACACAATAAATCTCCCATTCTGGTGCCTTCTATCTTTTATCTACAACCTGGGATTAAGGAGAAGAATATGCAATCACTGGAACAAAGATTTTATTTTCCTGACGTTTCGGATTCCCTCGGGAATCCCTAATCATAGGTAATTGTAGGAAAGTCGGAGACATGAGCAGATAAGGGTGATACATGCACAGATTACACGGTATTTATAGTTCCTAGCGGTCACACGCATGCGTAATATAATTGACAGTTCCTTTAGCCACCGCTTGAGGTCTTAATTGGTGCGGTGATGGCTCATTACTTACCACAGCGTTCTTCTACGCATCGGATGCGGGTTTGATAATTGCGCGACAATTATGCCCGCTGTCGTCA